GAAAGAGTAAAGGAAAAATTGGGTAACACATATGAGTTACAGATAATATAATCTCTGGTTAATATACAAATATACACAGAACAGGTGATGAATAAAATACTGCGGTTGATATTTACCATTTTCCTTGGCCCTCAGCCAATGCCTCAGGTCCTGGTCTTTCCTAGTTGGGTGTCTGAAGAGTCCTGAGTGGTCCTGCCTGCAGTGGTGCTCTGGCCTCTGTGACCTCTGCCATACAACCAGGGAGTACTGGGAGGCATCAGGAGAATGCCCTGAGTTCCAGCATACTCCTCCTGGCCCCCCGGAGCAGCACCAAAGCCCTGCTGCCCCTTGAAAGTCAGGATCAGGGAATTCCCTGGCGGTCCAGTGGTTAGGAGTCGGTGCCTTCACTCCTGGGACCCAGGTTCAATCCCTGGTCAGGGAACTAAGATCCTGCAAGCTGCATGGTGCGGCCAAAAAAAAAAAAAGTCAGGATCAGTCACCTCACCCAGCAGAGCAACTCCTGATTTGAGGCTTGTGGAGCCCCAAATGGTTAAGTGGTGTCTCAGCCTCCCGTCCAGGTGTGTCCCCAAATGGAAGCATCCTACCTGCAGATGAAGACCTCTGACCCAGCAAGTGTAAAGCTGTGGGGATGGGGAGCTCACACTCTGTGAGTGAGGCACTGGGGCGGTTGTGAAAGGGTCTTCCTCCTCCCCAACCCTCTTGCACATCTGGGCTTCCAGCTGTGATGGTCCCTGACTCAGAGCATACACCACACCCTGCAGGTCAGCACCCAGCCCGGTGCGATGTCACCAATCAGCAGCCCCCATGTCCAAGCGCCACAGCCCTCGTCATAACCCAAATGCAGCTCTTCGTGGCTAACCCGACTTTCACACATTTTTGGAAGGCTTGCCAGCTGCCACTTACTCCCCACAAGCCCCTCATAGCTCGTGTCACTTTTCATCAACCCCATAAACAAGCTCCTGCTGTTGCCTCCATGTGGCAGGTGAGGCTCCAGTGGCTCCATCTGTAACCTCAGGTGAGCTGAGCAGTTTGCCCAGCTAGGAGGTCAGGAGCCAGGACCTGAGCCCACATTTCTACCCCGTGTGCTCATGACATCCTTGCTGGCACACCCCCTCACCTGCTGACCTGGCCCTGGGTGACAGGGCTGCCAGGATGTCAGAGCCTGGGCCAGGCTGAAGGACATCTGTGGGTCCCATCAGCCTTTTGTCCCACCAGCTCCATTCTGAGAACCATCCAGCTTCGGCTGCCACCAGAGGCCCAGGTATCCCTAGGACCTCTGACCCAGGGACAACACAGCCCCCATCTGAACACCACAGGCTTCCTGGAAGCCCTCCTGCCTCCGTGTCCACCCGCTGGCAAGTGAGGCCAGGGACCCACTCCCCTCCCAGTGCCAGCACACTTGAATAGGGGTACCTAGTCCACGTACATCGGGAAAGCTGGGGTGCAGGTGGAGTGTCAGCTGCATCAGCCCACCCAAGCCAGCCAGGATTCGATCATCAAAAGGCTGGTGTATGAAAATTCCTATGGGAGAAACTCCAGCCTCTAGCAGTCCCGACTTTCAGGTTCCTCTCCCCTAAGTGGCTTGGGGTGGGGTGACAGGAGGACTACACTGCAGCCACCCTGGACCTTTGTCAGCAAGGCAGTGCCCCCATCCCCCAGCTCTGAAGGCACTGTCCTCTGCAGGACAGGGACAGGGTGGAGAGTGGAGACGACCCCTGTGGCCCTCACAGTTCACAAATGCCTTGGTGGGCTGCCTTTAATACCATAGAACAGGTCTGTTTGCTCCTGTAAGACTGGCTTGTGTTGGTTCCTTACAAAAATGTGGGGTGGAAGGCACTGCCCCCGCTGGGGGGGGTGGGCAGAAGTGGTAACAGCTCCTCTGGACCTGCAGGACTGCCCCATTCCACCCCTTCCGTGTGCAGAACTGGCCGCTGGGAGGTGCCCAGGAGAGAAGGGATGAGACCCAATCCCTGCTCACCCAAGTCCAGGGGACCAGGAGGGCGAGAAGCCCCCTGATGTTAACTTACCCTGAGTGTGCAGGTAGCTGGTAGACCTGCCTGCGGGTGCCTAGGGCAGGCTAGTGTGGGTGCCCACACACGGTCCTCTTGAAGGGTCTTCTGACTCCAGCCCCACCAGCCTGGTAGTGGGTGGCTGGCTCCAAAAGGCTGGTCAAACTGAGAGTGCCATCTAAAGCACTCTGTCCTTGGCACCTGGGCAGGTGCTGAGCCACCTGAAGGCCTCGAGGACCGATCAGACCCCAGTTCTCTTCCCTCTTGAGTCTCGGACGCAGGACTGAAACCCCTCCTCCAGGTGACTGGCGAGTTTGGGGTGGGGCCCCGACAAGGAGATTGTGTCCCCCCAGCTAAGACGGCACATAGGAAAAACTGAAGAGATGCCTCAGTGCAGGTGCTCTGAATCAGTGAACATGTGTCTTCCCACCCAGGCGTCCTTCCCACCCAGCCCCCCACCCGGGGAGGAGGGCAGGCAGGATCACATGGATGACAGATTGGGATACTGAGCCCAGAAGGATCAAACGCTACTCAGGGACGCCATCAAGGTCAAGTGCATTGTGAGTCAGGCCCCAGCTTTGCCACAGGGAGACTGATCAGGGGAGAGAGGTGGGTGGGATTCCAGGCCAAAAAGCCCCTTCTCCCTAAGGGTCTGACTTCTTACGCGATGATGACAGCAACATCTTGGTGGCCCCTTTGGTTCCATGGCTTCGAGATCCCCCTGATGCTAGTTCTTTGAGCACCCTCGCTGGTCTGCAGGCATCCCCTCTGGGCCTAAGTCTCTGGACAGGCCTGGGTGAGCTGGAATGGGGACAGGCAGGCCAGGTCCTGTTACTGCCCAGCACTCACCTATACAATCTTCCTCCGAGCCCCAACAGGCCTAAGGCGGCACTGTCCAGCACAACTTTCTACAATGATGGGATATCTGCTCTGTCGAGGATGGCTACCACTAGCCAGGCACTATCCCCCAACACACACGGAGACCTTGAAATATGGCTATAGTGCAACTGAGAAGCTGAACTTCGAATTTAATTTAAATCTAAATAGCTACAATTATCTGACAGCACAGCCTTAAGGTTCTCGAGCACCGCCATGTACCATATGGCACGTAACACAGACCACTGGTCTCACAGGGGAGTGGGTCGGGTGTATGGAAATCATTCCATCATTCCATCATTCCCGGGGCCAGAGGTTCCCCAATGGACGAATGACACTGAGTTCCAGACGCCACACTTCCCAGCTTCCCTGACCCAGGTGTCCCAGCAGTCGCTGCCCCAGGAACCTGGCCCGCAGCATTGCTGAGGGATCGGGCATCCTAACTCCCGGGGTCTCCCAGACGCGAGCCGGGTAGGAAGCGCAAAGCGGTGGGGAGACCGCAGTGCCACTCCTCCGCCCGGCGCGCCCCGGACCCCGAGCACACAGCGCCCCGCCCCTCACCCCCGGCTCCCGCTTTCCCCACCCCCCAGCACAGTGCCCCGGCCACCTGCACACGGCAGCCGCAGCCCCATGCACCGCACCCGGCTCCCGGCCCCAGCCCTGGCACGGC